GCCCTCAGAGGCAACCCCCCAGCCCTGACAGACCCCTGCGCAAACGCGTCAACTGCGTTCAGGGGCGTTCATTGAACGCGCGTTCACAGCGTTAAAAAACTGAACGTCAAACGCGCGGTAACATAGTCCACCCTCACTTATGGTAGGCAACAGGTGCAGTGCTCCTCGATCACAAAGCCTTGCTCACTCCTACTGTACCCGGTTGTCATAGTGACCAGATTTATACAAATAAGTAAAATAGCAATAAAAGACAACGGGGCAGACCAGACTCGAGTGCAAACACAGGGAGTTCAACGATTCCATCGTTTCCTTCTCCCGTTCCTTTTCCCATATTCACTTCTTCTTTTCTCGTAAATATCTTCTCCCCAGTATACTTACTTCTTCTCACGCATATAACCAACTCAAACGACAATAATAATAATAATAATAATAATAATAATAATAATAATGCAAGGAAAATAAATGATAGCGAACTTCAAAAACCAATCAGCATCGTACACATGAGACCAGATAGTCGCGACCTTGAACCAAAAGTAGAATTGCATCACGAATCCTACCAAATACGAGCGTAGCAAAAGCTCATAACTGACAATGATCGAACAGTTTCATCATCATCAACAAAGAACCAATATCGATATCCTATTTGACGCTCGGCGCCYAGTCTACAAATGGCAGATCCTATCTAGCCTATCTACAATGTCGCTGATGACGTCAATAGCTCCCCGAAGTACGAGCAGATCTCGGCCAATGYTGTTCGCCTCAAGCACCAGGTATGTCTCTTGTATCACTCGCAACCTCGATCCCCAACTCACAGATGCCACATGCACCGAAGAACCACCATGCGCCCCATCCAACACACAGCAGCGCAACTCGGCTATGGCTGCCTGCTCCTTCCGCTCCTTCTTCTTCTTCTTCTTCTTCTTCTTCTTCTTCTTCTTCTTCTTCTTCTTCGTGCATTCCTCATTTCTTCCGGGAACAACGTCGACCGACCATGGCAGACTGTTTCATCGCAGTTTTATCGAATCATCTGGAAGTTGAACCCTCCGAGTGTTCAACCTTGCGCTGTGTTCAGGTATGCAACTTTCATTCTTCCATAGCCCCCTTCGTCTCTCTCTCTCACACTCTCCCTGTGTATGTGTTCGTTCGCTTTCTCTCTCTCTCTCTCTCTCTCTCTCTCTCTCTCTCTCTCTCTCTCTCTCTCTCTCTCTCT